CTGTATACATCAAGGTTCAAGTTAAAGGTTCTTTATTGTCATTCGCATCATATGTGGTACATGAGGTGGAACTAAATTGTGTACACAGGGTCCCAGTTACATCCAACAATAGCAAAAATATAAATTGTAAAAAAACAGTAATAAGGATCTAAGATATAAACCTTGGTTATGTACTGTAACCCCAGATTCTATGAGTATAGGCGCAGCCCTTTAAGACTGTCGCTAGTGGGTTTATCCTTTCGCGTGCAGCGCAGCACTGAAAACTTTAGTCCGTGCCCATCGGCTGTGTGGGCCCCACCCCTGGTCCGTATCAATTACGGTGAAACCGGGCAATCAGCTCCCATTTTTTCTTCAGCCAGCTAGCTAGCACTGTCAGAAGAACGAAGAAGGAAAAGATTTCCAGCTTTGACCGGCACAACTTTTGCGAAGGATGCCTGGGTCTCTGCCACGCCGACCTCCTACCATCCCTGTGAGCTCTCACCCCCCGAGGAGAAGCAGAGACGAGCAGCCTTGTTCAATGTAAATGCTGAGGAGTGTTTTTCAGTGGCGGGCCGCTACTCGCTGGACAACGCCATCGCCTTTTCTAACATTTTTTCTGCGTGGTGAATCGGACGATTCCCTCGAAAAAGGCGATGCTGGCAGCAGCTCTGCTGAGTGTTTTTCCAAGGCGGGACGCTACGTGCTGGACGACGCCACCGCCTTTCTTTGACGCAGAGTCGCGCAGTGAATCTAATGATTCCTCCGAGAAAGGTGATGCTTGCAACAGCCTCGCTGCCCCCTCCCTCCTGGAGAGCATAGTGACGGAAGAAGAGTAGCCGAGCGAATGCTCAGCCACCTCGGGTCTTCCCACGTCGGCAACCACACCACTCCCAGCCGTCGGCGCCCTCCTCTCATAGCTGCCCGACATGATTCAGGAGGCTGCTGACACAAAGGGACTTTCCGTCCCTCACCTCCTTCTGCCCCAATCGAATGATCTGGCGGGTAGGTTTAGCTCTGCCCTGGCTCGTTGCCCTGACCCCATCTGGCCCCGCTTTCCAGCAGTGAAATCCTACTGGAACGAGGTCGCAGCTGGACCCGGCAAACTGAAGACGCCCATCTCCACCTTTGCCTCCATCTCCAGAGTGGAGGGTTTACCGATCAGAGCTTTTCCCTCAGTTTCCCCCCTGGAGCCAAGCCTGGCTGAGGCGCTTGGGGCAAAAGCTTCCAGGATGGACCAGCAACCTGTCTCTCCAGGGAAGCATGACCAGATGGTGACAAAGCTCTCCAACCGAGCTCACCAGTGCTCATTCCAGGCGGCCACGGCGAACAACAACGTCGCCCTGCTGGCCTACAGCATCTTTAAGAGGCTGGAGGAAGCAGACCTGCTGGAGGAGACAAGAGCTCTCTATGTAAAGCTGCTGATGTCATCCTAAACATGTGCCACCTCTGCGATCTGCCTGTCTCGCATCGCCACCTGGATGACCATGATCCAGAGGACCACTTGGCTCCGCCTCTCGCCATCCTTGTCAGAGAGGCTGCAGAAGGACCTGCTGGAGGGCCCCATCACCCCAGAGGCGCTGTTCGGGGCCAACTTCAGGACCATCCTTGAGAAATCGCAGAGAGGTTTCAGAGACGGTACACCATCTGGTGACGTCGCAGTCCTCCTCCCGCCCCTCCGGCCGCTGGAGGGACCGCCGTGGCCAGCAACAGTAGCAGAAGTGCTTCACAGCTGCGGCAGCGACTTCACGCTCCGCTCCTCCGCCAGCCCCCTCCACCAGGGAACAGCTTCTTGAGGGGAATGTGCGTGTTTTTTGATGATGTATGTTTTGAAATAAAACAGAAACATCTCTAAGAGTAAAGTTTCATCTGATTCTAGCCTGACTGTCAGATCAACTGATCTCACAGCTGCCTCTCTCCACACAGAATGAGCCGGTAACCTCTGAACAGCATTTTAAAAGGCACCGCAGTTCGGTAAATATCACAAAACACTCGTCTGTCATGTCATCTAAAAATTATGTTTTTTCAGCAGACCGAGTCCGGTAAAATCCCTCACTCTCAGCCAAAGCCCGTTTATTTTCTGCTGTTTCTGCCCACTCACCGCGCAGCGGGAGTAAACGTGTTTCTCCACGACAGCTGCAGCCTCCACCGAAACGACATCTCACTCGGAAAGCGCTCACACCTCCTCTCAGTGTGCGCCGGCTCACCTCAGCTCTAACGTGAGACCGCAGCCTGGGCTCAGCACAGAGGCACACATACAGCCCTTTTCTGTCGGAGCCCCCCTTGGGTCCCCGCTGGAGAATCTCCGGAGCAGGTGACGGCAGTAAGGGTTTTGAATCTGGTTGAGTGTCCATGAGAAACATGACACAACACAAAATGCGTGCCCGCTCTCCGAGCGTTACTCAGAGTGGCAGCGAGTATGTTCCCTGGACAGATGGATGGACCGTCTGATCAGCAGGGGTTACACGCTGCAGTTCACAGCTCAACCCCCACCGTTCAAATGGACTATAGAGACGGCTCTGTCATCTCCAGAACAGAGCTCGTCTCTCCAGTCAGAAGTTCAGGAATTCCTGATGAAAAACGTGATTTTCAGAGTTCCCAACGGAGAGGAAAACTCAAGGTTTTCCTCCCACTACTTCCTGGTTCCCAAAAAAACCGGAGGGGTGAGACCCATTCTCGATCTGTCCATGTTCAACAAATTGATCATGGAGAGACAATTTCACATGCTGACAATCAAACAGCTGCTGGAGAACTTCACCAGAACGACTGGTTCACCTCCATAGATCTGAAGGGCGCATATTTTCACATTTCCATCATTCCAAAACACAGGAGATTCCTGTGTTTCTCCTCCAGGGGATTCCGTATCAGTACAACAGGCTACTGTTCAGTTATTCCCTCGCCCCATGCACGTTCTCAAAATGTGTTGAGACGGCTCTACAGTCGTTACACATGGCAGGAATGAGAATTATTTTTTATCTGGACGATCTGCTTTTATTAGATCAGTCCAGGCAGAAAGCAGCTGCACAGAACAAATGCTAGCATTACAACTGCTAAATCTGAGTTTTTCTATAAACTGGGAAAATTTCAGTTCTCCCGTCCCAGATGATTGTTTATCTGGGAGTGGAGTTAAACTCAACCCCAATGAGAGCCTGTTTATCACAGCCGAGAGCCGAAGATCTGTCAGCTCAGCTCTGCCGTGTCAAACCCTGCAGTGTAGTAACGGCTCTCTCGGTCATGCGACTCCTGGAGATGATGTCAGCGGCTCACGTCGTGGTTCCGCTGGGCCTGCTTCCCATGAGATGCCTTCAGAGATGGTTCGCACGCCTGCGTATAGATCCTGTGCGCCAGGAGAGGCGGATTATCTCTGTGCCCCGCTCCGTGAGAACCGATCTGAATCACTGGGGAAACCCCATCATTCTATCAGAGGGAGTTCCCATCAGCAGGCCTACATCACACATCTCAGTTTTTGCAGACGCGTCCCTGTCAGGCTGGGGAGGAACATATCTGTCCCAGGCAGTGGGAGCACACTAGCTGGACCACATGTCGCTTCACATAAATGTGCTAGAATGTTTCACGGTCTGAAATGTGGCTCAGCATTTTGCCCCCCTGCTGCGAGATCAGCATGTTCTGGGCCACACAGACAACAAAGTGACGGCAGCTTACATAAACTGTCAGGGAGGCGTGCACTCAGCCCAACTGTTACGCATTGCGATACAGCTGCTGTATTGGGCACACAAAAACCTGCTCTCTATCAGAGCAGTGTACATGCCCAGCGTCCTGAACAGGGGAGCGGACATAATGTCATAATGTTGAGGGGCAGTCCCCGCCACAGAGACTGGAGCCTCCATCCCGAGCTTATCTCTCGGATTTGGAGCAGGTTCGGCCGAGCAGCAGTAGATCTGTTCGCCACACGGGAGAATGCCCAGTGCCAATTATGGTTCTCACTGAGCCCACGAGATGACCCACCATTAGGGGTGGACGCCTTCACTCACAGCTCATGGCCAAAAATGTTCCTTTATGCGTTCCCTCCAGTCCTGCTGATATCACGGACCCTGGACCGGGTCCGGGAGGAAGAACTGTCAGTCATCCTCGTAGCTCCCGAGCGCATATGCGCCCCATGGTTCCAGAATCTGCAGCGACTGATATCGGGTTGGTCGTGGAAACTGCTGTGGGGGGGGATGCTCTCCCCCAGGCAGGAAGAGCGATCAGGAGTTACCCAGAAATAGGTCAGCTCTTTTGGGTTTGGCCGCTGAACAGATCCGTTTAGAAAAGATGGCAGTATGACCAGATTGGGCGGTTTTTCTGCTAATTGGGCGGTTTTCATTCCGATTTTGCTGGGAACTCTGGGAAGATTTTTGTTGGACTGTTGTGTTTTGCCACATATTGTTAGATTTTGGGGCTGGAAAACCTTGACTATCTGGCAACACTGAAAGATGGGCCTCCCACAGGATGTGGTGCGTACGATTCAGGGTGCAGGAACCGCCTCACAGTTTCCTCCAAAAAACGCCTGAGCTAAAGACAAAAAGGACTGGACTGCTGAGTGGTCCAAAGTTATGTTCTCTGATGAAAGTAAATTTTGCATTTCCTTTGGAAATCAAGGTCCCAGAGTCTGGAGGAAGAGAGGAGAGACACAGAATCCACGTTGCTTGAGGTCCAGTGTCAAGTTTCCACAGTCAGTGATGGCTTGGGGTGCCATGTCACCTGCTGGTGTTGGTCCACTATACAAATATATTGTACATACTGTATATACAAACACACCCCTGCATTTATATATATACATATACATACATATACATATATACATATGGATATACACATTCGTTTTACTTGATATGTTAGATCTAATTTTATTTGGTATGGATTACTTTTTGTCTCGAAATAAAGATTGATACATATATACACATTCATACACACACACACCATACATACATACATATATACACACATGCACAAGCGTGCGTGTGCACGCACGCACGCACACACACACCTGCATTTATATATGTACATATGCACATTATAATTACCTGGTGGAGACAGCATACTTGTCCTCTCGGTGTCTGCAGGGCTCTCCTACCACTGTGATGCTTTTAATGTCCTCCTTATGAATGCCAAGGTTGGAGCCACGTATGGTAATGGAGATGCCTCCTTGCATGGGGCCGTAACGGGGGATGATCTGAATGAAGAAATGCAGTGTGTGGTGGGGAGAGGTGTGTGTGTGTGTGTGTGTGTGTGTGTGTGGGGGGGGGGGGGGGCAAGGGGTGGGGGAGGGAGTGTTTATAGGTGGAAGGGATTTGAAACGGATTTGCACAGATTAGTTGTGCTATAAGAACATACAAGAGATTTACTCAGTCTGTTCAACCAACCATTCAATAAATTGTTTTATATTCAAGGCCATGGTGGATAATTACATTAATACGGTACAAGTACTGTCTGCTGGTTTGAGAGCAGCTATTAGGCATTGCCCAATTAACGAGTGACACACTTGAAAACAGCACAAAAGTCTAAGACTGATGCTGCAGTTAAACACACCTCTTGAATAGGAATGCTTGAACTATTATGCACCAAGTATTTTTCACTAAAGAATGACAATGACATTATTTACAATACAGTAAATACATGAAAGTATTAATAAGATAATAAACACTAAACACCTAATTGAGTAATTCTAAAATAAACACAGTATGTAAAGTCCTCAGTAAGGCTGCATCATTAATACCTTGAGCTTTAAGGCTAATATTATGCTGAAAAGCTTAGTTTATTCAACCTTAATTTATACAGGTTAATCCCACTGAGCCTCGGGGACTCATTTAAAAGAGAGACCTGACAGTGACTATGCTTACATGATTCTGTAGAACAGATAATTATATTGCTTTCCACTTATATTCAGAAGTTAGAGTTTACAGAGTTCCAAATTGGAAAAAAATGTGGCAACAGAAATGAAAGTTGAAATTCTGGACCAGCCTTGACCTAAAAATTCAATATGGCTGCTTTGCACATGAAAACCTGAGTGGGCTACAATAATAAACAATTTATTCTCAATTTTAACAGCTTGTATTTTATTAAATCGGTCACATACATTGTTATTTGTACACTAATTCTGTTAGGAAACGTTGCTACCATGTTTAAATATACAAAATGCAGAGAAATGCATGATTATCAGCTTGTACTACTAATAATAGTTAGCCTGGTTACTGAGCACAACAATTAGCTAATCGAAGTTGTACAACTTGAAACCCCATCTAGAGCAGGGGTGTCAAACCCACTTACAAAAAGGGTGAAAATTAAAACCTTTTTCAAACTAAGGGCCAATTTCAGAATCTGCATTAACTCATGTTAAATACCCAACATGTTCTCTTGGTTGCAGGTTCCTCAACAATAATTTGATTGGTCTCATTTGACGTTCTCTGTTGCACTTTTGACATCATAATCAAAGATTACTGAAAAAAATAAAGTGATAAAAGTATTTTATGTTTAACATATCATCTTGGGGGGCAGATAAGATGTCCACAAGGGCCAAATTTGGCCCTCAGGCCTTGAGTTTGACACCCCTGGTTTAGAGTGATGTAATTTCCAGAACCAAAATCCTACTCTAAAGGTAAATGGAATGTAGCAGGAGTGAACCACATTTACAAGGTTTTCCAGAAGTTATCATATAAACATGAGCTGAGTAGAACTTAACATAAAGAACAGGTCATTTTCAAAGAAATGATCATTGATTTGATTATGCTATATGTTAGGCTTTGGTAACTGCTCTAAATTGTGTGAGTGAGAGAGTGAATGGTTGTTTGTCTCGTTTGTCTCTATGTGTCCCTGTGATGGACTGGAGACCTGTCCAGGATGTCCCCCCACCCCCACCTCTCACAGTGATAGCTGGACATGGACACCAGTGAGCCCCGTGACTCAAAAATGAAGAGTTAGGTAAAGAAAATGGATGGATGGAAGATTGATCCAATATAGTCAAGTTCATCCCAGAGGAGTTTGATCCTCTTATCACATCCATCCATTTTCTTCACCCGCTTCTTCCATTTTGGGTCATGGGGGTCGCCGGTGCCCATGTCCAGCAATCACTGTGCGAGGGGCGGAGTACACCATGGACATGTCGCAAGTCCATCACAGGGACACATAGAGACAAATGAAACAAACAACCATTCACTCTCTCTCTCTCTCACCTTGGGACAATTTAGAGTTACCAATTCAGCCTAACATGCATGTTTTTGGTCTGTGGGAGGAAACCGGAGTACCCGGAGAAAACCCAAGCATGCACAGAGAGAACATGCAAACTCCACCCAGGAAGGCCCCCCGACCCGGATTTGAACCAGCATCCTTCTCGCTGAGGGGCAGCAGCTCTATCAGTTGTGCCACCGTGCTGCCCCTCTTATCAAATAATAAATCTAAAATATTACATTTTACATGTGCAAAGGAAAACCAAAGATGACTAAATATCAGTAAAATATATTCCCCACACCCCCCAAAAACAGGATTTTTTTTTTAGAAATTGTAATGGGATCACCCTGATGCTCAATAATCCAGGTAGATAAATCTAACCAGGTTAAGTCAGGCCCTCTGGATGGATTCTTCTTCTTGAAACGTTTTGTCTTGTATCTTAAAGATGACTGAAGATGACTTTTGGATAAAAGATGAAACGTTTCAACTAAAAATAATCCGTCCAGAGGGCCTGACTTAACCTTGTTAGATGTAATGAGATCAATTTAGTGATTGGCTAGATGAAATATTTCAGTCAGGGTGAAAGTGGTGGATGAATAAACCCACAAATAACCCTTACATAAGAATCCTGCATTTATGTTATATGCACGTTATATTTCATGTATCTGTTTGGCTGTTTTATTTCTGGAAACTGCTACCTAGATAAAAATGAACACAATTACGGCTTGTTTTATGTCAATGACAAAAAGACACAAACAATTAAGTAAGTAAATAAAATATTGATCTGGTCTAGACAAGACTGAGCAACATTGCAGCATGCTCTCAAGGAGATTCACAATTCTTCTGTCAACAGAAAGATGAGACCGAACATGCACAGCCAATAAACTGCTCCGCTCGATATTCCAATTTAAAAGGTCGATTTTTTTTCTCTGCTAATCACAGGCCTTAAAGGACAGCACAGTTTCTATTTGAAAGGTAAACATGAGGTGATGACCACATTGTTGCCACTACTCACATCAGTGATCTGCGGGTTGGGGCACTCAGTGATGTGGGGATCCCCCTGCTGTTGAGCACAGAGCTTCTCGTATACGCACGCCTTCTGCTTGCTGCACCACACACACCTGTACTTCAGGTCAGCGTACTTGCAGAGACTACAGTCTTCCCTCCCCATGGAGCAATTGTACAGGGTGACTGAATGAGAAGAAGTGTAAAGAAAAAAACAGGAGCCACTGTTTTGTTTATATCATCTTTTAGGAATTTCCCATTCAGTTATATAATTATACATGTCCTTAAGTATTATCCTACAAACTAAATTGCATTTAAATCTATAATTACTATTGTGATGAGAAATGTATGATCGTTTGTACAATCTAAACATTCTGTCAGAATAGACTGAATGCTAAAGTCATTATCAATTATGTTCTGAAGATTAAAGTGCTCTAACGGAGCACATACACAGAGCATTATAAATAGCATCCCCACTGTAGAATGAGAAAATTCACCGTTCAGTGCACTGTCCATCTTCTTGCCAGTCTCCTTGTCCTTCACGTAAAACAGAACATTGGTCTCTGACGACTTATCATAGGAGAACTAAGAAAATTGAAGTGAGAAATGATGAATTATTGATACAGAATCCAATGATGAATGGCATTTAAACTTCTCTACAGTGTTTGTTGCTGCTCCCCAACACCAAGGGGCAAAATGAAAGAAAAATTATACCTAGTCTGGCAGAGCTTCAGCTGAGAAAATCAATGTTGAAGAAGGAACGTAGCTGTGGGCTAAGCATGGTTTGAGTTTCCCAATCACATTATTTAAAATGTAGAGTTTGAAGCTAAAATTACTCAAATGATGGGGCCATGTCCTTTAGAGGGAGCTAGAGAATATTAGAGGAAACCATGAAACCTGTTAAAAGGTGATTTCATTTACAAAATAGGAACAAAACAGCAGTTTTACACAAGGAAAGTCTGCACAGATTGATGTGCTACAAATTATTTGATTTTAAGAGGTAGAAGGAAGCTCCACTATATATACAGGTCCTTCTAAAAAAATTAGCATATTGTGATAAAGGTCGTTATTTTCCATAATGTAATGATAAAAATGAAACTTTCATATATTTCAGATTCATTGCACACCAACTGAAATATTTCAGGTCTTTAATTGTTTTAATACTGATGATTATGGCATACAGCTCATGAAAACCCAAAATGCCTGTCCCAAAAAATTAGCATATTTCATCCCACCAATGAAAGACAAGTGTTTTTAA